CACAAATACCATTGTTCCTCTATTCATCCCCCAGCCTCTAATAAGCCTCTCCTTCTAATAATCCCCCAGTTTGAGGTGTGAACAATTGAATAAGCCCCCCCCCCCCCCCCCCCCCCCCCACTAAGGGGGTTGTGGCCTTTTTCCCTTGAAAACCTTTGAAAATCATTTCACTGGTCAAGATTTTAAGAATAGTTATGAATTACCAATCATCAGGAAAATTTATTTAGCCCCCAGCCTATAAAAGCCCCTCTTCTAATAAGCCCCCATTCAAAAAACACATAAGCCTCCAAAGGGCTTGAATTTGAATGCACAACTGCATCAATACGAACACTTTCAAATTTCACGGCATTCCACTGCACATATAAATATTGTACACAATATCAAGGCTAAACCTGATCAACACATAACTTGAAACTGGAGTATTTAGAAGGGGATTTTTTCAGAGGATGGAAAATTAAAGAAAAACCCTCAAAGCAAAGGAGAGAACCAACAAGCAACCCTACTCATAAATTTACTTATCATATTTTACTGGTCTCACTTTTATAGCTGACTGTTTTGTTTTGTCTATAGGTTCAGATATCTAAAGGTCAGAACTTGCACAAGATTCCAGGATTTTACACAGAAAAGGTAGCACCTGCATGGGTGGTCTCGTGATTTCATTCAAATCATTAGCAGTTTTACATAGACGACTTTCATAACTCAGTTTTTTCAGATAGAGAAAATGAAGCCTTTTTACCAGAAGAACAAAAGAATGAAAAAAAGGTTATAGGGTCTATTTAAAAGCCCATATAAATTGGATGCAAATATTACGCAGCTGTATATTATAAATCAATTAATGTTTATGAGTGCAATCTCCTTTTCTAACATTTTTGAAAGTTTGATTTAGAAAATTCTGTTCAAGGTAGCTCAACTGGGGTTTGTTTGTGGTGTACCTTCAAAGTTTGATTTGGAAATGCATTGCTGGCAATAAGCTAATTTCAAATACATTATTTTGACAAGCCTAGAGATAGATTCAAGTTTCACATGATATAAAATTTATCATGATCAGGGTTACCATAGCAACACAGTGACATCGTGTCATTTTTTTATACATCTCATTTTCCTTTAAATCAGATGTTTGCTCAAAAAAAAAGTGTTACACAAAGTAATTGATTTATAGAAGTTTAAAAAAAGTTCATCATCAGACTAATTTACTTGTATCCAATAGAATGACCCTAGTGCTCCTTCAAATAATGATGCCGAAATGTCAGAATCCCAAGCAGCAGAGGGTGATGGTGAGGGTGATGATGATGATCCAGTTGGAAGTGACAGTGGTAAAACACTTGAGGATGAAATAGAAGAAATTTCTACTCTTCCTGGTTGTAGTATATCAGAACAGCAGCAACAGTTAGGGTTGTCCTCAACAGCTGGTAATGTGACAGAAGTGTCCAGGAATTTACCACAGTAAGTCTTTTCTCAGCCCCTTTTTTTTTTTTTTTTTTTTTTTTTTTTCCTTTTTTTTTTTTTTTTTTTTTTTAAAGCTGTCTTTTTTTTTTTTTTTTTTTTGCCCCCATTTTTTTTTGTTTTTGTTTTTTTGTTTTTGTTTTGTTTCCTATTTAAAGACTCAATCTGTTACTCAACTAGAAGTTGATAAAGCTGGTAAATTAATGATTGCCCTGACTCTTATCTGACATTGTATTTCTAAAGGGACTCAGTGAGAAGCTCCAGCACCTCAGGGAAAAGCCTGCAAGTCATTCCTCCCAACCAACAAGCAGCTGTTGCACCAGAAGCAATGGATGTCCAAGAAGTAAATAACCAAGCTGATGACCTAGGAGAAGATGAGGGTTTTGTTGAAGAAGATGAAGAGGGTTGGATCACGCCAGAAAACATCCGAGCAATACAAGATGAGATGGGCCACAATAGACTAGATGCTTCACCAGCCAATGTGGAAGTGGGATGTTTAACTACAGATTTTTCAATGCAGGTAGGTACATGTACTTGAAGCACTCCATAATTTTTAAAGACCCCTTATAGCATATTGGTGTTAACAATGCAAGCTTATTTTGAAGGACAATGCTGTACGATAAAATTTTGTCACCCCAAGAATATGGAGTTTGTATCATTTTGTGTGACGAAGTGTTCATTGATGTTGTTTTAATAGGCCCTTTGCAGCTCAGTAATCACATGCTGATTACAGTAATTCACAGAGAGCAAATGAATGAATATTTTGATTCCCATGGGTGAACTTTACTGAAAAGCAAACACACTTTTTACGACCTCTTTCGAGAGATCGTACTGTAATAAAACTGCATTTCTGAACACACTGCTTACATGTACACATCGTTTCATTTCGTCCTTTACAAGTACATGTAGCTGAAAAGAATCACCAATTGAAAATAAAAACACAAATTTTGCTCTCCATTACAGACACATGACTGTTAACTGCTAAGGGCCCATTGAATGTTGTTGCCTGTTGCCTAGATGACTAAGAACAGTGATTTACTGATGCAGTGTGTTGTATATTGGAAGCACCTACAGTGTAGAATATAATAGTCATTGTTTTTTCATAGAATGTTCTGATACAAATGGGACTGCATGTTGTATCTGTGGATGGAATGCTCATACGAGAAGCAAGGAGTTATGTACTCAAGTGTCATGCTTGTTTTAGGTCAGATATCAATTACCTTTTATTAGACACACAACATGTAATGCATAGTTGTGTTTTAGGATGCTTTTACATTTATCATACTCTTACTGGAAGGTTTATTTATTCTATTCTAATCTATTCTATTCTATTCTATTCTATTCTATTCTATTCTATTCTATTCTATTCTATTCTATTCTATTCTATTCTATTCTATTCTATTCTATTCTATTCTA